AAAAAAAAAAAAGAGATATTAAAAGGATGTAACTTGAATTTATATTGTGGACTGAGAGCATTCTAGAAGGAGGTTCACCCGTGCTGGGATGAGATGGAAGGAATCCTAACACTGCTTTATAAAGAACTATTCACTTTACTCAAGGCTGAAGGGTGATCTGAATTTTACACAAATTCCTGTAATTATTTTAGCATTTAAATATGCGTAAGACAAAAACTTTATATGTGACATGAAATTATACCACATTCAGAGAGTCTATTTAGGTATGTTTAGGCATTTCTACAATTGTCAAACTGTGTTTTTTAAATGAAGCCGTTTAACTTACTGGGTTTATTTTAAAATGTTTTCTTCCTCTACTTTAAAACTCATTGCATGGCTTTATAAATTTTAGCATTATGTGTCTGCACATAATCGGGCACAGATGATGATAGCTTCATATCCACACTGTAATAATCTTTCATGCAAATTTGTTAGGAGTGGTAACGTTCAGCACCATGGACTTCATCTCTTCCATGAAGGCCAAGGCAAAATCTGTGCACTACTAAGCTTTCAGAATAAGAATGAGAGGTATGGAGGATGAGTGCTGACTCTCTGTGCTTAAGTGAAAGCCATGCTTTTTAAGAACACAAAGTGTAGAATTAACAAAATTCTACTTAATTTCTGAAGCTTCTTTTCTCCTTCCACCCAAGATGTTCCAAACAGCAGGAGACACACAGTTTTGCATGGTCTGTTTTCACAAAGCAGTCACTAGAGGCCTCTCACTTTCAAAGGCACAACTCATGTCCCTCAAGTGCACTAGAATTATACAAGTATTTCCATTTTATGTGCTCTAGAAGTTACTGTCCACAACTCACATGTGGCAGTGAAGGCTCAGAACTGAAGCTGAAACAAAAATACATATTACCTCCCTCAGCGACTTCCTCCTCAGTTATCTCACATTCCACTGCCATGGTAACAAAGCCATTTGTGTGCTCTCTTTTCTCCTTTCCTCCCCCATACATCCCTACCTCCTCCCTGCTGCTTCTGGTTGATTTCATGCAGGCAGTTTTTGGTCTCTTTTGAAAAGTCTCATCACCCTGCATGTTACCTGTAACCACTGGGAAGGGAAGGTGTTTCAGTAAGGCTCCTATTCAGTCTCTAGGTGCTCTTTCCTGTGACTATATGGGCAAATTGGCTCCTTAATTTCTAATAATGTTCAGTGGTGTGAGTGGTCTGCCAAACTAAAGCTCGTATCTCAGAACGCCTACCATAATATTTTTTTAAAGATGCTCAACAATGCAGCAGTTACAAGATGAATTAGCTCATGTATGATAGGTGGAGGTAATTTAATTGGCCACATCATAATTGAGAATTTTCTACTCTTCTGTCATGAAGTCTCCAGCAGACAACTCTGGCTGACAAACTGTGCTGATCTCTACTTTTCATGCTGATTTATAAATTACTGTTAAATTAACTGACACATGCATCCAGAAGTTTGTGCCCCAGTACTACACTGGAAGCCTACTTCATAAATCTCATTTAGAATTACTGTAATTCCAATCTAAATTTACCACAGTGTTTTATCTTTGTATTTATTTTATTTATCTCTTAAATCATAAAATATGACACACTGACCCAAGAATAATAGGAGAAGTAGGTTAGATTAACATGTCAACCAAAAAATTCACTGTCAGATTCCATATGTTTATGCTTGATCCTTGATAGATAGGTCCTTGATAGAGAAGTGACTTGCATTTTCTCACTCATACTCCCCACTTTAAGTATTTAAGATTTACTCAAATTATAGGAAACCTCTACATATTTGGCACATAGATTTGTGACAATAGCTTTAAAATCCCAGACACAGATTCTATAGTAAATGAAATGACACAGATTCCTTCTAAAGGAAATAAGGCCTAACTTTTATATTCTGGTATTCCTTGTACAATGCTCCCATTCACTTAAATCTTTACATTTATATTCACTTATCCAGTCAGCAGTCTTACAAATTTGCACCCGATGTGTACTCAGCTGGGCCACTGTAAATGTTTGAGCAGTGAAACAGTAAAGCATACTCCTTCTTCCCATAGAAGGAGATTGCTTTAATGTTGACCAATTTAATAAATTTTCTGGAGCGTGCCCATTTAAAAGCCCAGCTGATGCCCACAATAACTGCAGGTATACATTTAAAATGTTTTGGATTTTTTTTTTCACTAAGTTTATATAGTATGCCTACTTTTCTATATAACTGGGCAACAAGTGTAACTTTACCATGTGATAAACACGTTTTTTCTACTGACTCAAGCAAGGTTAGAGAAAAGGGTCAGTGAATGATAAAATAGTTGTACCTAATGAAAGTGGTAGCAGGAGGGCTGACTAACGTGAGACAGCATTGGGCTTCTTGTGCAAACTGAAGATGGGCTTTTGCATGCAGGTCTGAGTTACCCAGACAGCATTTTCCAGAGAAGTCTTGCTGGAGAAGACTTTACCATTAAAAGCCTTTGAGGAGGTCCCATTCTTGGATAAGGATGCAAGATCCTTCCTTATCAGGTAATTCAACATGACTGAGCACACTCATATTTGGCATGGGGAGACTTCTGACTATACAGTGTCATGCATGGAGAAATACGCAACAGTTCCAACACTGTGAAGAGTTTGAGTACCTGGGACGTAGCCAAGGGTCAAACACAAACCTCTGTTTCTCACCCCCCAGTCTGGTGAGGTTTGGAGAGTCCCTAGATCTTGCTGATAAGAACAGAAGGTAAGAGCTCTCACTAGGTCACAGGAAGGAGACCTCAGCCACAGAAAACATAATCGAGCTATTCAAGTTCAAGAGCATTTTAGCAGGGGCCTCCATTAAACTATACAGTCAGAGCCCTTTGCCAAAAACAGAGCTAAAAGTGAAGGGATTTTTCTACAGTCCTAATATTTACAATTATTTGTACATATGTACATATTTATATATTTATTCATACCTGGACAATGTGATGTTGAAGGGAAATTTTTTAATTTACAAATGAAACATTTTAAAAATGTATGCTTATACCATGAAAAAACCCTTTTTTTTATTGCTTGCCTTCTAGCCTTTTGTTCATAATCACACTATTGCACACATCTCCATGTTACATGGAAGATCTACATTTACATATAAATATATATGAAAATAAGGATATTTTTATTTCAATGTTCTGAGTAAAGTGCTCATTTTTAAGCTACTGTTGATGAGAAAGGTTTAGTCTGACAGTTTAATTAGAGGGAATTCAAGGGATGCACACCTTGTCCATGCTTCTCCCTTTCTTTTATAACCTACTAAATGTCTTTATTTTAGTGATGTCAACTCTGTCTTAACTATTAATTCTATTTATAATATGCATTTGTGACCTTGGCATCTATACTGTCACACAAAGTACAAAACAGAATCACATCAAAAGCAAAGAAAAAGCAAGAAAATAAAACAGCAAAAGAAAGCGGTGTTTCTCTTTGTTGTTTTTAGCACACTTCCATGTCTTAAGATACTCTTTTATTTGATTTTAGAAATATTTGTACAACTTTTTTTTAAACTCTGAACATACCTATTTTATGCACTATACTCAAGTTACTGTACAAAACTGCAATAAATGACACTATACGACTACATATGTCTCTACTAGAAGACATCATCATAAAGGTGTATCTTTTTTAAAGGTCAACTAATAACTGCTAATGTATGTGTGAATCAAAATAGTTTTGATTGGCCAAGTATACTAAAATCTAAATACAGTACACAATTATTATTTATGCTATGATTTACCAGGCCTTTAGGGGCATAAAGAATCTTTGCAAAGGCTCAGAAGAAAAACAATTTTACTGATAGTATTAAATGTTCTTATAAAATTGCCAATGGCAGATCCAATTTTGTTGTATTTGTGTATATGAAATACAGTTGATGCCTACTGATGATGCATGACCTTTTATTAAAAAAATAACATTCAAATCTTAGCAAAATCATTTCTAGTATACAAAGTTGTTGTAAAGTTATGTCAGCGAAATGTAAAGTTGCAATTTACAAAAGCAGCAGTAAATTTTATTATATGGACATATTCCTGAACTTAAATCATGTTTCTTGTTTCCCTTGAAAACAGTGCTTCCTGGGACAAATACAGGTAAATATTGTAATGGCAGGCTTTAGGAAAACATTAAGCAAAGAAAAAAGTATATTATATTACTGATCAACATAAACCTGAAAAATTTCTGAGTGATTCTATAAACCTGAAAATAATTCAATTAAGAACAAAATCAAAAATAATTAAAAAAAATCCAGCTTTGCTGAACCAGACAATCCAGCTTAATAATATCAAATAAATAAAACAGTGAAAAAATAAGTATCTCACTAGCAGAAGTTGGTGGATATTGAATTTGATTTACCCTTTTCCCTGAAATCAATTAGATGTATTTATTAACAACTTCAAAGAGGACAGAAGTAAGAAACTTGTGGCTTTTGCCATACAGTAGTGTTTACTACCTCCTCAATCTAACTTGTATCCAGAATGTCTGTGAAGAGCAGAACTGTACGACCTCCGTACTCTGTTATGTACATGGGTACTGCTATTGTATGAAACAATTACACTTTTTAAAAAAATCACTTTTTTAAATGACAGTTTCTTTCACTAAAGTAGAATTAGTTACTTTATAGAAAAATATTTTAACTTTAAATTAAAAAAATACTGCTCCTAAATAATTATGTAAGATCACATCTTCATCTCATTGTACGGAGAGAATATAATTCTGTATATTTGAATCCTAGTTTAACAGAAGTCCCCTGGGTTTAACTTTTAAAGAGCTGGCTGTATTTGCCATGGGTGCTATCTGTTTACAGACCCATGAATTAACGCTGTGCCCCTCCTTTGGAGACACACAGACAAGACATTTATATACACACTGTACAGAATGGTTCACAGATTAGCAGTTATTAGTCGGACTGTACATAGCGAACAACCTATCTGATTAGAATGATGCTTGGAGTCCTCAGTGCAAGTCAGCTTTTAGGTTGATGGTGCAAAGCCAAGTAAGACAGGCTCCCTGTTTAAATATGTAGCCCAATACACTAAATTAAAAGTACCAAATAAGACTGGAAACACTATTCTAGACATTCTGTCAATTTTGCTAACACTGTTGAATGTCTTCTTTGCTTCTTGTGGCTTCGCTTCTGGTTTTGCCTTGTTGGGTTCTGCAGTTGTAGCACTCTTGGAGATGGTTGGTAGCACTGAGTCCTTGGTAATATTTGGAGCATAGTTGGCAACAGCCACTGCATAGGCATTGTTTTTCTTAATGACAGATGCTTTTTCTTTTTTCTATTGGAAGACAGCAGGAAGTTAAATATTTCATGTGTATTTGCCAGAATAGACTTAATAAAACATAATTTCAAAAGCAAAAGAAACGAGTGAGCATATTAAAATAAATACCATGCCAATAAATTCAGATATAAAGAAAGACATTTCCAGTCTATCCGAAAAGAAGGTTGAGGTGACATAAGATTGCTCCTGCACCATCAAATGCCCTACTGAAGTTATGTGAGGAAGTCTCTGTTACTGTGATTGTAAGCATAACTGGAGAAGTGTAGGCTTTGCATCTTTCTCCTTACAACAGAATTGCAAGTTCTTTACAATGTTTTCTGTGAAGATTACCCGTCATGGTAGTGAAATTAAAATTAGGCCACTTTTCTCACAATAAACTAACATGGCTATTATTTGGGCATGTCATAACATACCACTAACAAATACATGAATTCCAGTTAAGGGTATACATTTTTTAGAGACTCTGGAGAAATGTGTTTACACATATATATACACAGACACATATATAGAGAGGTCAGGAAGAAATTGCAATTAAATGAAAGAATCCAGACTGATAGTTTTAGAACTGAGCTGAGATTCAGCCCTAGAACTATTTCTGTTTTTCATGAAGTATTGGTTAAAAAATGCATAACAATGATGAAAACAGGACTAAGAACCTAAAAAACAGCAGAAGATAAGGAGAGTGGGATAAAATTAATTTAATGAAGCTCAGAAAAGGGAAATTTAAGTCCTGCACCTGGGGAGGAATAAGCTATGCACCAGTGCAGGTTGAGGATAATGGGTTAGAAAGAAGCTTTGTAGCAAAAGCCCGTGGGGTCCAGGTGGTCACCAAGTTGAACACAAGCCAGCAGCGAGCCCTCGCAGAAACAAAGGCCAACAGCCTCCTGGGCTGCATCACGCAGTGCTGCCAGCCAGCCAAGGGAAGTGATCATTCCCCTTGACTCGGCTCTGGTGGGGCACATCTGCAGTCCTGGATCCAGTTCTGTGCTTCCCATCTCAAGAGAGACAGGGACATAATGAAACTGCTCTAGTGAAGGACCACAGAGATGATTTAAAGCCTGAAGCATCTGAAATACAAAAGGCCAGGAGAGCTGGGGCTGTTCAGCCTGGAAAAGAGAAGGCTCAGGGGGAGTCTTGTCAATGTGTGTAAGTATCTGAGAATAAAGATTAGGCTTTCCCCAGTGAAATACAGTTGAAGGACAAGAGTCAGTGAGCACAAAATGAAATACAGAATATTCCACTTAAGTATTAAAAAACCTCCCATTTTTACTATGAGCATGACCTAGTGCTGGCACAGGTTACCTAGAGAGGTTGTGGAATCTTCATCTTTGAAGATATCAAAAAAATTATCTGGGCAATGACCCTGAGCAGCCATCCCTAGGTGACCCTGCTTGCACTAGGGGAGATAAATTTAATGACCTCCAGAGGTCAATTCTAACTTCACCAGTTCTGTGTTGCTATGGGACTGTGTATGCTTTCAAAGGGCTGAAGTTCAGCCAGGGGCAGTTCACTGGAGAGTCCATGTGTACACATGGGCACAGGGATGTGTAGGGAATGAATACAGGCTTGGGGTTTCAGAGCAATACACAGATTCACAGACTAGTTCTGCAATAAGCCTATAATGCTGTAAATTGATCCAATGCTTTGCAGCAATCTCAGACTAAGGAATTTCTAATAACCTACAAGAAAGAATGGAAGGCAGTTTCTCAGGAAGCAATATATATTATTTACATATATATAAATATAACATATATCATTTATATATAAAACAATACAATAATATAATGTATGTATATATATATTAAATGCTATGTATTTAACGTACATAAAATATATGTATGTAATTTAGAGACGAGCAAATAAATATTAGATTTAGTCCGTCTCTTCCACAAAATACAGAATTAAGCAGATGAAAAAATAGCTAACTTCTGGATCATATATAAATCATCAGTTGTATTGGTCTGTTTTGATTTTTAATCTGATAGAAGTGACACAACTAAGGGAATTCTCCATGACATTTCACATATAGGTGCATTTCAGTTTTTTACTTCCACTGGGAGGCATCTATTCCATTTGCAATTTTGGTTTTAAATTACATCCAATTTGATATTCATCTGGGCCATCTAAAAATCTTGCTCAGATCTTCATGGTTAGATTTGTGCCTAAAACACCTTGTCTTAGGAGATGGTGTCACACGAAAAGAGAATCTGGGAACCAGTTGGGAATTCAGCACTGTTCCTTGTTGACTGGAGTGTGAAAAATAGTTGATCAAACATGTAGCTTTTTCCTGCACCTGCCTTCCTGTGCAGCAAATTCCCTGTCAACAGCACTTAGACAAGAATTTCCATATAATGTGAACATAGACAACTGCCACTGAGGAAACTTATTTCATTTTAATTAGTGAAGAGTAAGCCTGGCTTTAGGTGCACAGATGCCTTCAGCTAAAAAAAAAAGAGCAAATTGCCAAATCAAATTATGGGAGGAACACTTTAATTCATCCGTAAGTCCTTCCTTTCAGACACAATTAGTGTGTTTTTAAAAGGTATCTGTAATACCATTAATGAGACCTGCATAATAAAGCTGAACCATATTTTTGTATAAGAAACTATGACTACGTTAAAAGCTTATCTTTTTGTTAAGTCAGTTTGAAGAAAGAAAAGAACTGGACACATGGATGGTATATAAATCTTAAAATGCAATGGATGCTATTGTCACTCCTAAGGAAGGAATACTGCCTAGCTTTTAAAGAGTTGCCACTCCTAGGATGATGAAACAACACTGTTGTACTTTAAAGGAATGACCAAAGGATGATCAGGGAGTTTATAGGGTTCCCTACATTATTACAATTATAACTGCCATTATTATAATAATGGCAATATCTGGCACACAGGGCAATGTGCCAGTCTGAAAAGCTTCACTCATGACATGCTGATAAACTCGCCCTGATTTACCTCGAGCAGGAGGTAACAGATACTGAAGTTATGGATAGTTCATGCCCTTCCAGAAGTCACAGGGAATGATGAAGAATGAACATTTTTCCTAATTCTCCTTTACTACTAACTGAACATTTTGCTTCTTTATGAATTGCTTCTTTGTGAATTGCTTCTTTATGCATGCTTCTTTATGCATTCAAAATGATAAGAAATCAGTTAATGAAACCTGCTTTATTTGCATTTAGGAAGCAAATAAAATCCTATCCTATTTTAAGAGGATCACAGAAATCCATGTATTTTTCAGAAGAAATCTGTTTTCATTGGTAAAATCCAGGACTGAGATAGGAAAAAAGGATAAAATATATTAAGTCAGTCAAAACGAGTGAGTTTAATAATTGTTCTGCATTAGAATTCTAAACTGCAAATACACAAATTTAGGTGTGTCAGTAAGTCATTCTGTTTGTGAAATGAGAAATTCTATCAGATCAAAACTTCTTCATTCCATCACAGTATAAAGACCAGAAAATTAAGGCATGACTGTGTTTCTGTGTACTCAAAGCATCGACACATTATAGGTGAAGAATTTTGTACATCCGCTGTTTAAAGTGGTTTTAAAATTAATGTCTAGCTATCAGTAGGAATAAGTTTCAGAATACTGGAAATGTTCAGAAATTCTAGATTTTGTTGTTCATAGTACATACATATATGGATATTAATTTGCTTTTCTAAACCTTACATAACATGAAAATTAATATACATCATATATTTCTGTAAATTTTTTTTATTTCCAACTCAACTGAATAAAAAAATACAAAAAGTGATCCACCAATGTAATCTGGATTAAATTTTATGAACAACCAGATAAATGGTTGTATCTGAGGAGTTGAAATACAAGACAGACAGTTCCCAAAATAAAAAAAAATAACATTCTTGATAACTAAATCTGGATTAGTGAGACCAAATGAGATTAGCATAAGGGCAGATATATTCCTGTTCAAGACAGAAAATACACTTACATTCTTTTGATTTAAAGCTTTTTTTATATATATATAGCAAAATATCATAATACATTATAGCTGGTTTAGGTAATTGACTGGAAATAAGACTATTTCCTTAGGACTTACCTTATCATTCACTACACTTTTTCCATCCCAGGCCCATCCTCGTTTTGTGAAATAATTTACAGTTGCAAATTCAATTAATGCAGAGAATACGAATGCATAACAAACAGCAATAAACCAATCCATAGCTGTTGCATATGCTACTTTGGGGAGTGAATTTCGAGCACTGATGCTTAGTGTTGTCATTGTCAACACAGTTGTTACTCCTGCAAGGGGACACAAAAACAGAACCAACAATTTCACTTGGATTTTGAATGTTAGCAAAAATAAACCAAAAAATATCATGGTATGCTTTTGAAACACAATGATTTTTTTTTTCTATGTTGGTGATAAACATTGCTAGAATTGTATAAAATGTTGTATATGGATATTCCTTTGAAGTAATTTCAGTTCAATTTCTTGTCTAAACTTTCCTTTTTAAATGAGCTGATGATTTAACTTACAGAAAATAATTTTTTTTTTAACCTGTCATGGCAGGATAGGTTATTGTAAGGAACAAAATTAATAATTTCTTCACAGATTCATAATATTTAGTAGCATTAGAGTAATATTGATTAATAGGTTAATGTTTGGTAGCTGGCTTTTCTGCAATGGCTGCAGGTTTGGTACCCATATTTTCTGAAATTATCACACAAATACACTTTTTTAATGAGATTTTTTTTTTCTTTACAGTTGCTGTCTTACTAACCATTCAGTGACATACTCAAAGACATAAACAGGGTAAACTCTCATTAAGGTAACATGGATTGTATTCTAGAACAGCTTTGATTTGATTTACTATTGTAATTGTATTGTGTGTCAGAAAACAAGAGTTGGTGGTACAGGAAGGCTGTGCATTCACTGTGGCAGTTATTAAAAGAATTTTGCAGTACTTTTTACATAATGAGGATCCAGCAAAAAAAGAAAAAAATCCCTCCCAAAAGAATCAGGAAGAAGATACATGGGAGCAAAGGAAGAGAACTTTTGTCTGAGTCAGATTTAGCAAGCAGAAATCCACAGCCATAAATACAGTCTCCATTCCTTAAGTAAATCAATTCTCCCACCTTAGGCTGAATCACACTTAGACAAACTAAACTATTCCCTTTGTGGCACACCATTAAGTACGTCTGCAGAATTAAAGGCAACACAAAGTGATATACTCAGCACAGATCAGCAAACCTACACTTCACTATGACAGGCAAAGGAGATGCCATGGCAGAAATATTAGTAACAGCACATCACAGCTTCAACAAATACACACTCATAAAACTGGTGTAGGAGGCTTCCCAAGAGAAAGTAAAGTCACTCTCCCTAAGCCAGATTTTCTGCTGTCAGCAATCTGTCACCTGGGTTCTGGAGGAACAACACAGTTCTGATTTTCCTTCTGCTACAAGAGAAGAAGCAATTTTATCCACTGTGTGAAAGAGAAGAGAGCCAGCAATTGCATCTACTGAGACCTCCTCAGACTCCACAACTTTCATCCCTCCAGTAAAAATTCTCCATCTCTGAAGGTGCCACAAAGGGTGACAGAGCAAAGCTAAGTGGACTCAGCCTCAGCACTCCCAGAGGTCTGTGCAGAAGGGAAAACAACACACAGAAGCATCCTGCTGAGTCACACAGGAGACACCTTAGCAAACATAAATCTCTAATTGCTGTTTTTCAGCCCCGATAAATTAAAGTGGATGCCTGGAATCAGCCATGACACTGCTGGCATCTACTAGGCTATACAATGAAAAGGAAGCAGCTATCATATGGAACAGTATGAAAATCTGTAGACAAAATGTATTTTGTAAAGAACTTAGTCTCTCCTAATGCTTACAGAACACATGGCTTAATTATTTTCAGCACCTCAGGGAAAAGACAGCCTATCTTACGTTTATAATTATCACATGTAAATTTTAACACTGGTCCTGAGCTGCAGATAAATCATTATAATTATACAGAGGGATCAGTAAAGTGAATGATTCTCAGATACAAGGTGACCTTATCCACATGTAAATATATACAGTTGCTAAGGTATTGCTCATATTAAATCCCACTTTATAGAGTAAATTAATCTTCTGGAAACCACACTGACTTCTTCAGAAATCTGATTTAAGATTTAATGCTGACCTTTCCTAGTCCCAGTTAAAACATTGTGAATTTATATCTTGTTACCACATGCTACCACTTGAGAATTCCTCTAAAAAGTTCAGCAAGTTACACCACTTTGTGACCCAAATGCTAATCAATCAGCACACTGCCAGCCCATTGCCAACATACTTTCATTTATTCCTTCACTCTATAAATTCAGTGATGTTCAAGCTACCACAGTCATCTAACCTGAATTGAATGGGGAAAAATTGGACAGAAAATTTCATCTGTAATATCTGTCATTTTAGGATTCTCTAGTCCTTTTAGATTGCTATTATTCTTCAGAGAAAAGACGGATGATTTTGCACATTATAGTTAATTTGAAAAATAAGTTTTATCAAGTCTTCTTTATGAAAAAGGACTGAATGGAAATAACTGCCTCCATGCCACTGCTAAACCTGAGAGGACTGAAAAGTTATTAATGTGCAAGAATATGGTCAACTTGAGAAAACAAAACTCATTTATTTCACAAAGATTAACTTAAAACCTCACAAAACCCATACACTGATCAGAACAAAACCGTTCCTCATTGCTCATCCAATTCATAACACTAGTGAACTAAAATTGGTATAAAAAACAGCGAGCAGATTGTAGCCCCTACAATGAAGTGGTCAAAAAGAAAAAAAAATATTTTAAAGGCTACGTGAAGGCTGCATGATATCTCACTGTGATGTAGAAAAAACAGTTTACATACAAGGCAAGAACTCTCTTCTATAGCCCAGCACCTAGCAGATGTGGCAACTGAATTGCTACCAGAAGAAACAATTATGTATTATTTTGTAAGGGACCACAAGCAGTCATCAGTTTGTCTTTGAAAAAGACACAAAAAATAAACCATCCAACCACCTTCTTTCTCCAAAGACCAAGCATTTTTTACTTAACAGTAAACATCCTTACAAGCTTTATTCTCAGCAGTGCATGCCTACAAAGTTAAATATCTTCTATCACTAAAGGTTTATCCATTGCAGCCAAGACTGGAGCTATTTGATTGCCTGGGATTTATTTTTTTTTAATGGTAATACTTTTAAAACAGCATTTGCTTACTGGAGAGAGAAAATCCATCTCCAGAGCTGCAAATTCAACACTTTTCACTGGCACTAAACTTATATATCTGGAAAATAGCAGCTGTGTTATGCTCATAACAGTGGAAGAAGTAACCTGAAAAACTAGAAATGTCTAACTAGAAACAGAGAGTGGAAATTGGAGGAGTTAACACATAAATATTAAAGTTAAGATCTGTCAAGATGACTACTTTATGACCACATTTGTTAGTTACACATAACGATTGAAGAACATATCACAAAAGATTGACAAACTTTTTTTTTTTTAATTTAGGAAATTATTTTCGTTGCTCTATTTTTTTAACAGCAATTGCAACTGTGTTTTGGTAATTAGATATCCCAACCTGGTCCAAAACCCAAAGATATTCATAAATACAAATAACAGCAGAAAGAAAAGATTGTTGACCATTTCAGAGATACAGATTACCACTTCATTTTATCACTCCAAGACCAAATAGATAGAAATGCAAACAAAAGTTTCAAAATTCTGTATGTAGCATGATATTAAAGCATTGCACCATAACACTTTGCTACACACAATGCTGTTTGCTTTTATTTACTCAAAGTATATGTGTTAGCAGGGAATGCAATACAAAAGGAGTGTACTGTGATTTTGCTCCAACACCAGCAGGTAAGTCTGAACAACCATTGAGAGAAAGATTATAGAAAATAGCTCAAGCACTCTGTCTACCCTTTTCACTAAAATAACAACACCAACCAGCCTTTTTAAATAGCTTGGGAGGCAAGAACCATAACAAAATCTATTTCCAGAAAAGTTGAATTCAGTCAGTTGGGTAAGCTGCGTGTCCATATGGTGATGTCGGTACCATGCTGCTTCACTGTATCAACACTGAGCAATGGAACACACTTTCCCATTGAGTAACACACAAGTTTATTCCCAAAGACAAATGGCAAATGGCTATTTAGCCCAGCTCCAGGAAAAGCTGCATGCAATTATTCCACCCCTGGAATATGAACTAGTGTCTTCACACATAACTAAGTTGAGGAGACATACTGGTTTGTTTGTGGCCAGCTCTCAGTCTCTTACTCAGGGCTAGTTTTCCACTGCCCAATGCCTATCACTGTATTATGATACCTACATTTAGCAGAAATTCCCAATTAAGAAATTATAAACAGAAATGTGTGAGTAGCAGGATATCTCCTAAGGCACAAAAGACAATCCACAGCATGTGGAAGGAGAGAAGAATAAAGACAATTGAGATTTTTTTTCAATGAAATGGGAAAATGTACTTTGTATTTATAAAACTGTTCAAAAGGATGGGTCTCTATTATTTAATTCCCATGTAAAAATAAGCAGAGAACAGATTTGAACTTTTCTTGGGTTCCTCTTTTTGTAGTGTCACAATTAAAAAGTTGCTTTGGGTCTGCATGGCAAGGTTTTGGTAGTAGGGGGCTGCAGTGCTGTCTTCTGTGAGAAGCTGCGAGGAGCTTCCCCCATGCCTGAGAGATCCAAAGCCAGCCAGCTCCAAGAGGGACCCACCGCTGCTGGCAAGGCCAAGCCCAAGGGCAACACTGGCAGTGCCTCTGGGATGACATATTTAAGATGGAGAAAAAATTATATTGAGCAGAAGCAACTGCAGCCAGAGAAGACAAGTGAGAATATGTGACAGAAACAGCTCTGCCGACACCCAGGTCAGAGGAGAGGGAGAGGGAGGAGGTGCTCCAGGCACCAGGGATGAGTTCCCCCTGCAGCCTGTGGTAAAAGCCTTGGGGAAGCAGCTGTGCCCACTGAGAGGTCCACAGTGCAGCACAGATTGACCTCCAGCCCAAGGAAGACCCCACAAAAGAAGAGCGGAATGCCTGGAGGAGGCTGTGACACCATGGAAAACCTGTGCTGGAGCAGGCTTCCAGCAGGACCTGTGGCTCCACAGGGGACCCATGCTGGAGCACTCTGCTCCTGAAGGACTGCAGCCCATGGAAAGGAGCCACATCAAGAACAAGTGAAAACAGACACAGGAACTCAGAGTAACAACAAAATTATCACAGTGAACTGACAAAAGAACACATCTATGTGAATTTAAATATAATAAATAATAAGACTAATTTTTGTTCTTTCCTGCTTCAGTTAACAAAGATTATATACCTAACTACATTTATCATTCTCATTGATACTCCATGTGAGTTAAAGCATAGATAACTGTAGCACTAAGAAAACGAATTTCTGATTTTCTGTCACCTGCATTAATGCTGCTATTCAAACACATGTGATGCTTCTAAGTGCTATGACCCATTAAAAACAAGCAAGAATCCAATAAGCTGCACAAGATTAGTTTTGCTAATATTGTTGACACTAAATGCATAACAATAAACACATTACTAAATGAAACAGATTGTAATCTTGCACTAAATGAAGGCATTATGAACCAGTCTTATTCTCTTTCATTAAGAATGCAATCAGATTTATATGCTGGAGAAAACACATTCAAGACTTATTTAATCAATGATGACAAAACTTTCTTTTTCCAAAAATTTAAAGCAAAGTTGAAGCAATAGAATAATGTTAAATAGATGCCATAAAGAAAAGGGATTAAAGAGCTCAACTATAAAATAAGCCTCATTATACCAACCCCTAATGTTAGCCTAGAACTTGAAACCACATTGCAAGAGAATAAAAAGGGAAAAGAAAAGTAATTTCTTTCACCCATGAAATAACACATGCTAAGTGGTGCTTTGAATAACTAGAAGTTATGTTTCATTGAAAGTATTCCAGTAGTTGGTCCTTAACTCTCAAGAAGGTCATTGAAATAAATTTCTCATTGATTTTCAAAAACACTTTGTCAAACCCATAACTTCTGTTTAGTTATATTTTAAAATTGATATTTTTAAAATACAATGCAAAGATGGGTATCTAACAAGTGACTACTCCATATAAAAACTAAAAATTAAGAATGATCAATAAAAGTATAAAGGAATACCCCCTACAATTTTTATATTCTCTGCTGAATGTAGCTCATTTCATTAATGTAACTGTTGTATGAGCTTCTTTTGTCACTGGATGGAGCCTACTTCAAAGTGTCACCCAAATGAAACCTTGAATGTACCTGCCCAGCTCCAACTGACAAGAATATTTCAGTACACTCAAAAACCACTAAAGAGCTAGAGAGGAACTTTGTTATGAAACTCTGAGTAACTGCACATTTTTGTAACACATTCAGGCAAGAGACCAGAGCGTATCAGAAATCCCAGTGACAACTGCTGCCAGTAGGAATGGAGAAAGCCTGGGAGATCCACTTGAGGCTGTGTATTTAGAGAGCCCATTGGCAGCTTATGCTAACAATCTCATCTAGAGTGTAAAAGAATGTTATGAAATAGCTCCTCAGGGAAAATCCAACCCAACCCAATGAAAAAGGCTAAGCCCGAGGAGCAAATGCTGCATGATAGGGCTATGGTTTCCCAAAAGGCAGAGCCTGGATGTGTCTTGGTTCCCTGGGTGAAGGGGGCCTGGAAGGGACAGAGCCCTTAGTGGAACACAGGGTGCATGTCTGTGTGGCAGAAATAAAATACTAGCATGAAACTGCTATGTCTGCAATAAACCCATCATTTTTAGTCATGAGATTTCAGGTTTGGTATCACTGAGTGGTGTGATTCTGTTCTTGTGGCCCTCCTATGCATTTCCCTCAAGACATCCTGAAGCAGGACACTTCATTATCCATGTTATACTAAAACCCAGGAGAGCAAAGCTGCCATGCAGATACTACTCATTTCTAAAATATATATATAAATTAAACAGAAAATAAATCAAGAATAAAGAAGAGGTGTGCAGGAAGGGACACATTTCAGGAAAATTATCCCAGGGCCTTGTTATGGATGGAGTGCCTTGTTAACAGTGACACAGTAACAGAAAGTGCATTTTAGGAAGAGCAGATGTGAGACATTTTTTGGAGAAACCAGTCACTCTGTCCTATATGTCCTGGAGTGGATACAGAAAAGGGCAAAGACAGAGATATAGAAGGATTTGACAGTGTACTTGCAAGGCTGGAAAACAGGAGTGTATATTTTCATAATCAAAAATGGATAAATTCACAGAAGATCTTGAAGAAAGACAAAGAATCTGCCTGATAGCTGCCTGGAAAACCATGGTAGAATTCTGGTCCCACTGAAACTACTGACCCATTTCATCTGACTTCTGTAAGGCTCCTATTCAAACCTGCAAGTTTTACAGTGCTTTGTGTGGCATATTCTCTACCAGGAGAGACAGTAAATGCTTTGTTGTGCATCCTATTTAATATGCATTTGAGTTTGGCCTATATTTTGAAGAGTACATGGTGCTTACTGATGACTAAGCATACAATTTTATGCAGCATTTTTGATGGCTGATTCCACACAGACAATAATTTTATTGTGCTGATCTCTTTTTTTTTTTTTAAAGAAAACAAACTAAATGTACTTTGCTTTGTAAATAAGAAAGACATTTTTTTATTTTGAGAAACACCATTTTATTGCTTGCTGAACTCTCCAATTTGAATCAGTGAAAAAGTGTTGCCCAAAAGCCCAGAATAGGGTTTCTTTAAATGAACTTCAGCTTGAAATTTGAACAAAAATAATTCAAGAAATTCAAGTTTAATTTGCCTAATTTAAAAATAAATTTAGAAATTTGCCTATCTACCAAGTACCAGAATACTTGGATAATACCAAGGTAAGTAAGATATTTCAGAAAATCATCTAAGTTTACTAAATTTAGTTTTTAAATAGAAACATTGTAATCTTTTTCTATTCTCTGATTTTTTTTTTCCTCTTAAGAGTCAAGGATATGAGGACAGTTTGCTTGCATGTACTAATTTCCAAAACCTTTGGGATTCTCAGGAGATGTGTGAGCTGCAGCTGAAAGCTGTTTGGACTAGAAAGCATATCACATTCTACAAACATTTTAACTTGAATGAGAAAGCCCTTTACTTCAGAAGTACTTTCTAGCATCTTCAGCTACTGCAAACAGAGCTAATGCTACGCAGTATACTCACCAAAGACTGTCCTGGCAGGTACAGATTCTCTGTTCAGCCAGAATGACACTTGAGATAGAATGACAGTCATGATACAGGGGAGGTAAGTCTGAATGACAAAATAACCAATTTTTCTCTTCAAGTGAAAATGAGCCGTCATTACTGTATATTCACCTAGGTGCCACAAACAAACAAAATACAGTGAAACAAAAGGTTATCATTTTAAGAAAGACCATTTCTTTGGTGAGAGAAAGTTTGCTATATTTATGCCAAACAAATGTTCTAGGGTTGTATTGTACCTAAGGTATTTTGTAATAGAAAGCATCCTATAAAGTATAAGAAAAATTTTGCGTACAGCTATTTCTTATTCCCACTGTGTTCCATGAAAGGTGGGTGTTAAGGAACTTCCAGGAAGTTTTGTATGCGCTGAGAAGTACTTCAGCTTTGAAGGCTTCTGCTTATGAGCAACTCTCTGCATTCACACACCACCTCTCTGAGAATTTAATCACGGTCAGAAAGCAGCCATGGGGGTCCATCACAGACTGGCACATGCAGGAAAACAATCTAGAGTCTAGCAGAATAGTCCAGTGTTTCATGTCAAAAACATGATGGAAGGGAAACATGGTTGAAACCTCTCTGCTCTACCATTTACTAGACAAAATCTATGTTATTTGCAATATTAAATCTAACAAATATCCCAACCCTGGGTTACAAATATTAGGATTGAACAAGAAGCTCCAGATACCATTTTAAAAAACAGTCCCTTAGGGCAAGTTCACCTCTGCCATCACCAGTTAACTATAATTTGAAAGAATCAGTGAAGTGCTGTTTTGTGTTACTTGTACAGTACATTCCTAATAGATCACATTTTGCAACATTCTTTTTCAGAAGCCTGTAACACCACCTGGAATATAGTTTTCACAGCCAGTAACTGCATTTTTCTCCAAAATATTTCAAAATACCTTTTACTAACCTGTACTTGACTTAACTGTCTCTTTTCCAATTGTTTGGCCTAAAAGATCATACTGATTCAGTCTTGACCCATCTGGTGCCACTTGCACTGAATCTGAAGCATTATAAGTCCAAATGTATGTCACTTCTGAAGTTGTGTATGCATCTGTGAGAAACAAGGTAAAATGTTTTGTCAACAATTTAAATTAAACAGCATCCATCAAAACTCACGGAATTACAAGAGCCACTTATTTTTCAAATAAAAACTTACCCCAAAGAATTTAAAATTATGTTATAAAAAATATCTTTGGCCATTTTAAATAGCTTTACTGTAAATTAAGTGCCTATTGCAGCATGGGAACAGGGCACTCACCTGTGAACTTATTAACCACAATTTCTTTCTATTAAACTACAAACAACATCTCTTCTACATGGTTAAAAGACTTGTCAGAGATTAGATATTATATGTATCCTATAAATTGTGATAAGGCAGATGAAAAGAAGAACAATTTGCAAGATTTAGGACACACAAAATTTTAAAAAATTCATTCCTGTATAGTTCTGACCTTCCATCGTCTCCACGCTCAACTTCGGGGATGTATGACAAGAATTTTATTATTAGTTGAAATCCAGACTTAAATATGGGAAGCCAGCAGTGAAAACACCCTGGTACTTTGTTCTGACTACCCTCTTAAATCTCATTAGTGTTCATTATTTTGGGGGACACACCAACATTTAAACAGGCTGCTCTCTCAGTACATTCATGATCAAGCATACATTTAGACTGGTCTCTCAAAATAAACTAGTATGAAAGCAAATCAACACTGCATTTTAAACAGCACTAAGGCCTCTCCAGTAAGTAAGAAAAAAAAAAAAGAGTATGTCCTGAAAGTTTTTCCAGTCTAATATGCTATTAATATGCTATTAACAAATGGAATATGAAAGAAAAAGGGTAAACCACTGATGGAAGAAATTGGGTGCTCATTTTGATTGACTGAGACAAGTACATTTTATATCCTACACCATAATTGCAGTGCAATTAAAAAGTAAAGCAGCACTACTGTTGGTCTGCAAACATTTTCACTTGAGAAATCTCTAGAGGCTCAGAAAGTAGCTTCTTCGTGCAACTAGCCATAAATTGCATGACTAACAAAATCTAGCAGGTGGGTAGCAAGTAGAGATTTTTAACACTTCCCATGTATCCTTCCAGCTTCACACAAAAAATATCTCTGCTTTAATGCAAACCAGCAGTATGGCAAATTGTTGATTTGTCTCCATTCTCTTCACTGTAAGCTAGACTTTTTGAAAAGAATAAAGAAAAGCAATCTATTAAGCTACAGCTTCTCCCATACATTCAGTTTGGCTTTTCTCTTATGTATAAAAAGAGACATTCATACATGCTGATGGATTCTCCTAGCAATGTAAGATTAGCAGCATATGAAGAGCTGTGAGAAATGTATACCACTGGCAAACTTGCCTTAGTTAAACCAAAATCCTCAGGATTCCTGCTTATTTTCACCACTATTCATCATTCAGATTCTATCCCAGAATAAAAGGTGAAAAATGCACAGCTGTCTAGAATTGAGTCCTAGGTAAAGAAATAAAATGTGTGTGAAGCCATTCAAAATGAACAGAAGTAAGAGTTCCCTGAATGTGCCAACAGGCACGAGTGACTTTGAGGGAAATGAAATACACTTTTTAAAATCACACTGCTCACATTTAGAATTCCTCTGATTATTGCAAAATCATAGGCAGAGAAAAAAAGAGCAAGCTGGTAAGAAAAACAATCAAGACCAAAAAAAAGACAAAAAAGGAAGTGATTCACACAAAGTCTAATACATCCAGTAATAAGGGTTTCCAACCTAAAACTGTTCCTGAAGAAGGCAGTCTTTTGGCCTGAGTATCAGTTCCATTATTACAGGAGTTTTCAAATTGCTTTGAGGCTACATAGGAGTCCTTTTTTCCTGTAACACCTTATAAATCCAACATGCCTTGCTGGGCACTTGTATGTAAATATTGGTAGTCAGTAGCCGATTTTGGCTAACATCTCAGCCAATTTAGGCTACATTATGTATTACAAATATAATATTGAGGGGGCAGGAAAAGACTCCATGGTGCAAATAGTATTCACTCTAATGACCTTTATCTCCATAGCTAAGATTTCCTTCAAATGTGGAAACATCATCAGAAGCAAAGGCGTTGTTTAATTTGCTACAAAGTCCAAGGAAAAGGGATGTTGGAGAGAGTGTGCACAGTAGCACAGTGCTATGACAAGCATCATGTGGCTAATGAGGTCCTTAATGGCAGCATATCCCCTGTTTTGTATTCTGTGGGTGCTACAATTATTGTAAAGTCAGCCAGAATTTATAGGCTTTAACTTGTTTCCTCAAAAAAACCCCAATTTCCTTTCCTGGGCCCAGCAGAGAATGTAGGCTGGAGCCAAAGGAAAAAAAAAATAAAGCTTTTAGTGTAAAAAATCCAGGAAATATATATAATGAAGAAGAAAAAGAATGCCTGTAATCTAAGAAGGTGAAATAATGCTGCTTTTAAAAATAATACCAGTGAGGTCAAATTCCACCTGTCTGTAACATACAGATGCACTAAAGAATGAAATTTTTTATCACATGAAGCCATTTGTTATTGCCTTCATTGAATAAGAACATTAAAAATATCATTAACAATAAAGAGAAACCAAGTTTTGGTCATAAATTTAAAAAACCCACTCACTGAACTCCTTGATTTGCTCTTTGCTAATGCTACACAGGCTACGTGCATCCAGTTCTGTGTTGGTCAGTGTGATTTACACACTGCAATGAAAGCAGACCAGTGCAGTGCTGATCAGGTGGAGGGTGTTTATTGTGAATTGGAGCAATGAAATCTTTAACATACACTATAAGACACAATACTTGAATAAGGAAAAGAGATTTTGATGTGTCAGGTTACAGATTTTTTCTTTCAAGTCCCATCTTGTGGTTTACATTTCCCATGTAACAATTTACTGAAACAAAATTATGCTGAGAAATATTAGAGATTCACCCATCAAAGGCTCTACTTCCCATTATGTACTTACAGCTGCCAAATTTCAGTGGGCACGAGTGAGCATCCATAGGGAAGTCCTCCAAGTGCATTGGACATTCAGCTTGGACTGTAAGCCTAAAAGGCAAAAGATCTCTATGCATTTAAGTAATTTAGCAGGTCAAGAAAATCACTTCCACAGAAATGAACAGTTCATGCCAATTTAGTAGACTGAACTGAAATTTTATATTGAACTAACAAGAATTTAAATCAGCTCTTACTTCTTCCATTTTATGTGTTCCTTTGAAAGGCATTTACTTATCATATCAAGAACCTGTAAAAGTTGACCTCAAAATTATGAACAAAGGCCATTTAAAGAAAAATACAAATTAAGTACTGCCAGGTTGTTAAGAAAAATAATTTTCTTCTCGAAATATTCTGTGGTACTTGTGTGCTACTACAGCTCTTAAAGGCTCATTAAAATGCAACTAAAATACAATTAACTTGCCTAAGAACCCTACTCTAGTTTTTTTAATTCAATGTTTTTTACAGTTTGAATAGAAGATACAGAGAAAAAATATTTGTATTATTTCAAAAGATTGCTGCTCCTCATTCTCCATGTTACTAGTGATTAGTCTTTACATTTATGTAAAGTGTGACAGTATGTTAACAAAACATCCACTTTTGCCCATTTTGTGAAATATCCTAGTATCATATATGGGGATTACTATAATAAAAATAATTTAAAACAATTTGAAGAAAGCTTTTCATGGACTTCTCCATTATTTGTAATTAAAAAAAAAAAAGCCAAGAAAAACTCCTATGTTTCTCCTTCATATCCTTTTAGTCTTCTCTGGGTAGAAGTTTTTTCTGTAAGCCTTTTCTTCATCCAGTCCCAAACATCAGTTACAGCCTTCTGTATTCCCAGTGGTTCTTAGTCATTGTATGCTCTGCCATATTCTCCTAGCCTTCCACCAAAAAATAGTTCATAATTCTACTCCTCCACTCCCCAGGAAAGCTTATCTGAATTGAAGGGGCACCAAGAGATAAGAATCAGCAAACAGCTGAAGGCAAGGGAAAGAACTTCATGAGCCTCTGATGTAAATCACACAATCATTTTATGTAGACATGATAAAAAGAGCTGTTTAAAATCTAGGCAAAACAGTTAGATCAGTGTACACATTAATCTCATACCCCGAGAACCAACGTACTCACAAGTAACAAAAATGCTTAGTCAATTATAATTAACCTGACCCAGCTTATGCTTCATAATGGTTTCAAACAGTATTTCCTATAATTTATAGCATATGATTATTATACTCTCTGGAGAAAGAGAATTTCAGTCAGCTTAGATAGATAATTCTCAAATATTGATTTGAGCCAAGGCAAAAATACAACACAGGGGGCCTGAATTTACTTCAAGCAAACTTTTTTGAATCCCTCCAAGCACTACGACATCCAATATCATCATCAGTCTGCCCATCAACACTCAGCAGTGTAAGGGTTTCAGAGCTGTGTAGTAAAACTGGGATTAGGGATGCTGGCATGGCTGCATGGAAGAAAGTACCAGAGTACATGTTAACTTTGAAGCTCACATTTTCTGTCTTACTTAGGCTAGGGATTTTAAGTCGACATTCACGACAACTTCAATTTATTAAGTACTCTCCAAGAAAAAGAAAAAATCTAAGTCAGGGGCATCTGGAAACTTGGGTAAAATATTTTAAAAAATTCACACAGGTAACATTGCCAAAAGAGTTACCAAAGAAGAAATCAGTCTTATAAAAGTGCTACTAATATCTGTGTATACATGATTTATTTATAATTTTTCGTATTATATATTCTATTTTCTAAGTAAATTTAATACATTTTACCAGCTGAAATATTTATCTTAGCTACAAATGATGCACAAGATGAAAAAAATTAAAATTCTATGTTAAATATTTTAATTAGATGTAAAGAAACAGTAATTACACAGTAAGACATATTTTCCCTTTAGCTCTTTCTGCAAAGAATTTGAGACTTTATTACCTTTCCATTCCTACTTTGTTTTTCTATTCTCCTGATCTTAATAAAAAATTTGCATAGAGGCTCACATATTCAGTAAAATGGCTGCAGTAACAGGCTAAATTCCTACATTATTTTAATCACTGTAAGACAGAGTTGGTAAACTCTACCTGAAGGTCTCACATAACTTTATTCAGGTGTTCAATATCTTCAATACATTACAAAAACTGAGGCACACATAGGGAAACAGATCTAACTCTTTATCAGCCAAGAGACTTTTAACAGAACTGGAAACAAAACATATATTTTTCTAGCTTTCTTTCTGCTTAGACAAAAATAAAACAAAGGAGAGTTCTCCTGAGACCTCATTTAATTGTTCAATGGAAAAATTGCATCAAGAAATAGCTTGAGTAGAGATGAACAGACATACCTCATGGTGTACAAGAGTGTCCCATCATCCTGGATTCGTAGAAGCTTGTTTGGCATTGTCATGTTATGAGCCACTGACTTCTTCCCATTGTGAAAAAATGTATCTGGTGTCCAGATTTTGCTGGCCATTAGGTTGTTCAGTCGAAGAATGTTCATTGGGCCTTTAAACTTTAATCTCTCATCCTTCCATCGCTGACGGAAGAACACATCTATCGTGTACTCCTGTCATGGAATAAATATATGCTTTTTTTGACACAATGGAACACTAATCTGCTTGCTGAGAACAAAAATAGAAAAGCTTTGTTTGCACAATTCCCTTGGCAAAATTGTCAAGGGAGAACAATCACCATAAAAAATTGTGTAGTACTGAGAATAATAAGCAGGAAGTCACTGTATTAAAGGTATGACATTCTTCTTCATGATTGCTAGGTGTTGCTTTTATATTGAACTCTTTCAATATTTATATCTGTATCTGATATAAAAGTACCTGTGACCTGGGTAACTAGAGTAAACACAGTAAGGAAGGAAAGCAAGGAAAAAATACACAAGATTAAACAGTTCTTTCACTATCTCCTGCAGAATAACCCAGCATTTCAAGAGCATGGAGAACGGCTGAGCCTGGAAGTAAGGAAACAAGGCAACCCATAGGGGTACAGCAGAATAAGCAGAAGGATACAAGATTTTTCCAAAGAGGAATGTAAGGCTCTGTAGTGGTGTGGATTTTATGAACAAAAGAACATAGGCAGGAAACAGCAGCTGCTGATTAACAGGTGACACACACTGCCTGGTGAACCTTACTCTGATGCCTAGTCTTGGGAAGGCAGTACAGTGGGGGAAAAAGGATCCAAGCAAAACCAGACGGATGACCTAGACCAGATGCCTGTGTCAACAGGCTGGGTATTCCATCTGCTGGATTTTGTTGATGTTTAGTTGGTTGCTAGCTGGGGTTAAACCACAACACAAACAAACAAAAAACTGATTAAACATTGATAATGTGAATTCATCAGCTATCTTCAAAATGGAGCTGTAAATGGATTTGGTGTTTTGCTTCTGTCAGCACAGCATATAAATTGGATATGGGAGAGCTTAAAAACTATGTTGGAAGTAAACTGTATTTGGCGTATTGGCAAATGCTACCTTGGTGCAATTTTGTTTTGTTGGACAGGTACAAAATGTGGTCTCATGACTTCAAAATATTAGTATGCTGCAACAGTCTGTACTACTGCAATTGCTCTGCATAGACCATTTCCAAGTAAATTACTTTGAATGGACAAGGCCTGATAAAATTTAACCAATATAAAATTTTCAAGGGATTTCAATATAAAAGTGACTTCAAGGAACTTATCAGCCTCTATCATTTTCTGCTGGCTCCCTTGTGTGCTGATTAACAAGGTTTAAGGTTCTTCTCCATCAATCATACAGCAATACAAAAGGAGTGCTGACTAGACAGAGACAAGTGACAGCTCTTCAGTTCCTTTGGTCTGCGAGCCAAAGAACTGTGAGGACCTTTTCCAGGTCAGGGCCAGAGGCTAAGGAGAGAATGAGGAATAAAGGAAAGAGAATTTTGTTACATGGAGGAGCCTGACAGGGACAGGAGAGAAAGCGGTTCTCTTTATGAATGGTGACAAATGCAAAGAGATATTTTGGAAAGTATGGATACTTACAAACTAATCTGACAAAAACCAGAAGCTCAGTTTTTAGCTATACCAAGAGGTCGTACATTAATGTAATAAACTTTTGTCATTTTTCTAATTAAATTTTTAAATTTTAACAATAATCTTAAATAAAACTAACATGACAGTACACTGAACTGTACTTTCTTTAATCCCATTTTCTATTTTCTCTAATAATATTTTAGTAAGTATATCTGTTTAATACAAAACTATGAACCTCGAAAACATGCATTTCTTTGGTATTATACTTGATTTTATTCAGTACCTCATCACTGCTAGAGACACTGCCTCATAACAAGTGGTTTGCTCACTTCTCTATGATAGATCACATTTAATTGTTCTTTTTTATTTGCTGATTTATATGTTCTTTTATTTTCTACATATCATGTGACTTAAAATCATCTTTATAAATAACAAGTTACCTATCAGTTCAGTTACAGACCAGGGAAAGTGACAAAATGCATAATACCATGGAAGATCAGGAGCAGCAGGCAAGTATATGAAATATGGATAGAAATACCAGGTAATTAAAGGAAAATTGCCCTAAGAGCCTCCTTGTAGTTTTCATCTGAGGGGCGCTACCAATAAATCATTTTTATGGTAAGACTGATGTTTGAGGTATGAAGAATTGGGAAGAAGAGCCTGAAGGGATTAAGACTGAAATTCCACTGAAATTCAACAGGAGTGAGTGATATGTCCTACAGGTTCTTTTGACAAACACCTCTGCACATAAATGATTAGAATATAAATTTGAACCTTTTTGCAATGTTTCCATCAATAAAGAACTTCAAAGATCCCACTTCTTCACTGTCTTCCAACATACATAAAAAGAATTACAAGAGAAATAAAATAGGGAAAAAAAAGGCACGAAATGCCACTAAATCAAACCAGCAACATTTCACAAAAACCCGCATCTGCTGCATGGCAACAGCTAAGGAAGTAGAATGAGCAGGAAAGAATGAGAAGTAGAATGAGCTGCAGCCTGGAGAGATCCTACTGGGAAATCTCTAACTGGTGCCCAGGTAATGGTTAATGGCTCAAACACTGTTAAGGTAATCACCACATGACTTTGCCCCCTATGAAAAACTGTATAAAGAAGCAACTGCTCATCTGAGACCACAGAACTCCCCTCTCTCCCTCTCCGGCCTCTGTGAATTCCTGGAAATTTGGACAGTAAGTTAAGCTTCCAGATGGGAACTTGAGATGAGATAAAGGTGCTACTATTGTCCCATTATCTCAGGTCTAAGGAGAGGTAAACAAGGCTGAAGCAATGTATCCAAGAAAAGCCAGCTCCACAGATGTGCTGAAAATAAGCCCTGGCTGGGTCTGGCAGGGGGAGAGCATAGCTGCCAAGCTCACTTCTGGGGTCTTCCACCTGAGGACTGCACATGATCCACAGCTGAAACACATCCATGGTATTGCAAAAGGCAGTGTAAAGCTCCCCTCCCCAGGAGAGGTGTCTGGGCACTCCCACTGTAAACCCGAACATATATTAATCCATTGTTAATACTAACATACATATTAACTCTATGTCTCATGGGATTCCCTCACCCCTGGCAGATCAAAACTGTGACCGTCACTTTGACTAACAATTTTCTTCAGTGTTATTTTTATGCTTTTGTACTGCTATATTGCTATTAATACTAATAACCAAAATGGCTACATACCCCCTTTCCACTGCAACCAAAATTTCCCAAAATTAACTCTATAAATATAAATATAAATATAAATATAAATATAAATATATGAGTAATGTGTACATATATAAACATGTATGTATGTATGTATGTATGTATGTATGTATTTATAAACACTGGCCATTCTGTGCTGTTTCACCCTAATCTGCTCCCAGGATCAATTAATAAGAGCTTGAGTTACCCTCACCTTTAGGGTGGTTTGTAACACCACCCGGACTGCGCTGGAGATCTTAATTTCAGAACATCTCATTTAGAAAATGGAAACAGGGAATCAACCAAGGTTTGGTGTGAATGATGAGAAACACCTTCTGTTTCCATTTACCACAATAGTAGTAAAATCTTACATAGTTCTTAAATAACTTATCTTTCTACAGACTTCTTTGCGTTTTCTTTTCAATGGAAGTATTAGGATCTCAATTTTGTTACTGTCCATTTAAAATTATAATTTAAAGCAAAATACAAGTCCTGCCTTTGCATCCCAGTGCTATATTCACTGACCCCCTGTTCCTTTCTGTGCCAAATCTATTCTTATGATCATGAATATCCCTACTGATGTTTACCATATTAAAAGATGAAAAAACAGGAAGGTATTGAAGTACATTGGATATAATCAATATGATAAAAAGCCAGCTACAAAAAGCTGCTACATAAAAATTTTGAGACTAATTCCTGTTCAATATATTTGATATATACCACTTTCTGGTAAATGCTGTGCAATGTTTACTTTTCAGTCAAGACTAATGTCCATGACAAAGGCAAATCTGGACTCCAGAAAAACAGATTAATACCTGACACTAATTTCATTCATTCTGCAAATATTCTCCTGTGAAAAACACCTGTTCTCTCTGGACACGACATAACCACCCTGCAAAATATAGTGCAGTGTCTCCACAAAATCACAGGAGCATACTTCCAGGTCTTCAGAGGACTCCTGTGATAATTTCTAGACAGGAAAGTGCTTCCTACTATGTTGTGTCTAAAATAGTGCTTATACAGCCAGACTCCAATGCAGTACAATGAAACATAATCTTGCAAATATGTGTTATATTACCTTACATGAAATTTTAGATAGAGGCAATGAGATTCCTGCTACAGTTTTAAGAAGCACTTGACCCTCTGCCAGTTCAATGAAGAATAAAACGGCAAGGAAATTTTATTCCTCTTTTAATATGCAGTTGTTGTGCATAACACTACGCACCATAAAAAAAGATGTTAATATATCTGGCAGAAGCTTTAACTAATTAAGTACAAGCAATCCCTCCCCACTACATGACAGTTTTTTTTTGTTTGTTAGTAATTTTTTTTTTTTTTTTTTTTTTTTTTTTTTTTTTTTTTTTTTTTTTTTTTTTTTTTTTTTTTTTTTTGGTTTTTTTTTTTTTTTTTTTTTTTTTTGCTAAGGCCAGATTTGTATGGAAAAAGGTTCAAACAACAAAAAATGTACTCTCATCCCTTCCAATAATGGTTGGCAGATTTTGGCAGTTTTAGCATCTGGAGTAAAGATGGACATGTTCCAAGTATCTCAAAAATTGTAGGTGTCCATTAGCAAGCAGTATTGTCCTGAAGCAGATGGAACACTTTATTAATTACTTTCTGGAACACAGCATTTTGTTTAATGAATAGTTCAAGCCAGAGTTCCTCATTCCCTACTTGTAAAGATTTTTCTGAGTCATTTATCTAAAGTATATTTGTCTTTTTCCTGAACACTCTTAAAGCCCTTAATGCACATATATATATAACCACAAAAAACAAATTTTAAATACTGTAAAATATAAAACTTTTAAAACACAAATAAAAAAAAATTAAAAGCAAACAAAAGGGAAATGGCACATACAGCTTTTCAATGAGTCCTTAA